TGTTCCTTCTTCCTGATGTTGCTATCGCTTGGGATTGCTACATCTATCACTACGGCCTTCTTTTTCAGTTTGTCCACCACTGCTATGTCCAGTTGGTTGGCCATTACCATTTTGTCAGTTTGTATCTGGAAGTTTCACAGGACCTTAGCTTGGTCATTCTCAACCACCTTTGGAGGTGTATCCCATTTTGTCTTTGGGACTTCCAGCCTATACTCAGCATAGATGTTTCTGTACACTATGCCAGCCACTTGGTTATGGCGTTCCATGTATGCCCTGCCTGCTAGCATCTTGCACCCCGCTGTGATGTGCTGGATTGTCTCTGCACAAGACCCATCATAGCCTACTGAAAATTAGTAGCTGTTTCTTGTGTTGTTTATATATGTCCACTAGGTGGCGACAAATGAACAGAAAACCAACAGTAGGGAGCATAAATCTGTGGACAGAGACTAGTCAGATAAGTGATCGTAAAAATATCAACATTACACAGTATTAAAGCTTGGGTGTTTGACCCCCGGTCAGGGGGTGGTCAATAGCTAGCCTGGGTTCTTAGGCAAGGCCCTTAATGCTACCTGCCTACCTCATGGGTAATGAGAGTTAGAAAAATAAGAGTCACACCGGCTTGGACGTTGCCCGGGTCAACAAGGTCGACCTCAGGTTTTGAGGAACCAGGGCAACCTGATGAGAAGTGGGCTACTGGAACAAGACATTCATGGACAAGGGGTGAGAACAGGTAACTGTTGGAATGCTACTATACAAGTAACCCCAGTGAGAGGGGTTACATACAGAGGATGTGGGACCTATGGATATATATATATATACTTGGCACAGATGTTTCTGTACACTATATAGTTATATAAAACTAAATAGTGTAAGTTTCCTGTTTATTCAAAAGTAAGAAGAACATCAATTTAGACCTTATTGTACCTTTGTGTGTACTGACTTGTCTACTGAACAGTCTTTGAAAAGTGTGGCTTGCCCCTAATATTTACCAGGAGAGGGCACCAGAGGACAGCCTATGAATGGCTGTGTCATTACTGTATGCCTGTTTAAGATATGAAAACAATTGCAGTACCTCTGAGAAGAGTCAAACATGACACCAGGTGATTCTGTGTTTTTGACTGGAATGAAAACCTGCAGACTCTTGGCTCTCAGCTCTCATGACTCATGACTGGACACCACTGGACTTAAACTAATCATTATCAAATTAATCACTGTCTAAATGTGGAGCCTATCCAGCTGCTGAACTGCTGTTTCCCACGGCAACAACAGATCTAGTTGCGCAGAACCAATTTGCACAAATAATATACTCCAAAATGCTTTCTTCCACTGGATTTGTATGCTTTCATACAAGGGTTCCAAAGCATAACCTATACTGCATGTCTCAGTGCACATGATCACATATTTACCTTCATTTCTGTTTAATAAAACTCCAAAGTTACTATTATCATTTCAAATATAGAAGGAAAATATGTTTTGTGAATGCTGTGTGCCAGGTATGCATGTTGTGGCATCACATGCAGTATGTTCTCAAAATAGCTTTTATATACCGTCAATATATGAATAGTTTCACCGCTGATGTATTCACTAAAAAGTAACAAAAACCTCCTTGTAGAGGTGAGTGATTAGGTTGAAGTTGCAATCAGCTGTTATGCCAGCACTTTATGCATTTTAAATGGTTCGGTTAACTCATGCACTGAAGGGTGGCATATCAGTCCTCAGCTGGCAATGCATCTAATGAAACAGGTGCAAAGTGTTGCCTGCCATTAAAACGGCAATGCACACTCACTGCAGATGACTCAGTGGGATATTTGTTCTTGGTATAAGTGCCTAATCTGATGAATTCCCACACATCCTGCACTCATAAAAACTGAGGTTAGAATGCTCAATCTAAACACCTAGAGTAAGTCCTTAAAGGCCACTCCAAGTGTCTCTAAAACCTTGTTAATTTGAAGGCTGGACAGCCTGCCAGTTAAAAGCTTTCAAAGCTAAATGGGCCTAAAGGGGATTTTTCAATGAGGTGTGAGGAAAAGAGGGACAGGTTGAGTAGCTCTGAATTTTCTGTGAAAATGTGGTGTAATTGATAAAAACACAAATGCATTTAAAAGGGATTCTGTCCTGCCAAGGAGCTCCAATGAAGCCTGTAATTAGGTCTATTGATTTTATGGAAGCTGTTCCTATATTGTTAATTCAGTAACAACAAAACTCACAACTGTTGTTAAACTAAGAAATATAATTTATTGCATAAAAATTACTTTTAGTTACAGGTAAGAAGGCTAGATGTTCATGTACAATTGGTACTTTACAGAGATATAATGTCACTGAATCCATTTAGTCTTTTTTTTTTTTTGTAAAAATGTCTGACTTTGTGAAACAAAAGGCAATGTTTTTCCTCTGATCGGATCAAGGTAGAATTGAGTCCAGCTCCAGCATACATTATCCAGAGCTATGGCCAAAGATCCAACAGATACTCAAGAAATCTGGACAAATAAACACTGTAGTCTATAGCTAGCCAGTCTCTGTAACAAGATTTCAGGAAAGAAAATAGTCCTGCAGTCTTCAGGGATCCAAAGTATTGAGCTCATTATGGTCAGATATTTCCTCATGGGCAAAGGTTTCATGATGTTATTCATAACTTGTCATTGTACCACATCTTTGTTCTCCCACATGTGGTTTTTCAGTAGTTACCCGCACACACTACCATCACCAAAAATGTTAAATCACCATTAAGCCACGTTAGGATAGAAAATCAAAACCCTGTCAATGCCCTGATCTGAAAAAATAGAATTACTCTTCCGGGAAACAAAAGAAGTCATTACATTTTGAGATTCTTTTGTACTTGCATAGCACTTACAAAGAGAAATGACAGATCTTAAATGTGTGCACATGTATGTGCACACTCACCTGCCCACACATACCCACTCATTCGTGCATATGCACACCCAGACACACACTTATGTTTCCAGTTCATTCACACAAAACAGTGACACGACTCACTGCTGAAGAGGAGGGATACTGCCTGTGTTTTGGTTTTTGTGGTTTCAAAGATATGAACACTTTTTTGTTGTTACTGTTTTTTTTTCTTTGAGGGAGAAAAGGACTCATTGATACACAGAACCTAAGTAATGATAATGTTACAGATGACAGCATTTAAATTCCTGTCTAACATTAACTGACAGAATAATATTGATAATGCAAATAGAGAGGACCCTGACCACAAAGCAGGTGGCTTAGTAAAAAGGTTAACAATAGGCTATCAAATTGAGAGAAGGGAGATGATGATTTTCAGGTGCTGGACAGACAGATGTACTCATAAATAAGTGATGGGCAGAGAATAGATTGAAAATGCAGTTAGTGTTGAGGTAAATGTTACAATCCGTTGCTGCCTAGTTGATTCAAGGCAAGGCTAATCTATAATGCAATATTCATCTCTGAACATTTTGCCCTCACTTATACCAAAATGCCTGAAAAATAAAGTGTACACTGTACTAATCTGGATATCTGACCACCTCTAATCATGTTTTACAGTTTATATTTTACATTTTGAATAGATACACAATATTAAAATAACAACTAAACATGATTTTGTTGCACCTAACACTCCCATTTGGCCTGCTCTACTAGAATCAAAAATAATACACAGCAGCTCACTAAGCCTGAATGAACACAAATGAAAAAACAGGTTTTATATGATGGTACCAACAATGAAACATACCCAAACAATCCACAAATATGGATATCAACCTAAAAAGCGTTCCCCGAAGGAAACTTTTAAGAGATGACCAGAAAGCTCTCCTGTAGCGTATTCTCAGCAGATCAGAGGAATGTGGCAGAGCAACAGAGGAATGCAAGGAGAGATGAAAGAGAAACACCACTACAGTATGAGTCAGAATGATATGCCAAGGCTTTGAGGCATTTGTTGGTATAATATAAAGACACAGTTGCTCTAGTTATCTGCCAATTCTGAAACAAACATCACAATTCAACCTCCTGCCACAAAGAAGATGCAGTTTTTTTTGTCTCAGCCCAAAGCAATATACTCAAGAGCTCAAAACATGAGGGTTTGGGCCTCATAAGATTTGAGGACAGTCAAAGGAGCTAGACAAGAAATTCCAGCCTGTCTCATTCAGATCCAAATAATGACATGTTTGTCCATGCAAGTGTTGGGGTGTGTCTGTAGCCTGAGGAGTTTGCAGACAGGTTGGTGCTGCCTGTCATTCACTGCATACACAGAATGACAATAGAGAAAACAAAAGCTCCTGTCATGAGGTGAGATGGGTTTAAATCATGCACTTGCATGCTTGTACCATAAGTAATCCCATGTTAGCCATTGTGTGTTTGTGTTATTGTGCTTTAGTGTGCTGAATACATGAATATTTTGTCCCAGAGCTTTGTTGTTTATATACAAGAATTGTGTCAATTTCATGTTTTTAAGAAGACAGTCATCACCACACATTACAGATGACTTTACACCTATTTTACACCTCTGTAACCACAAATTAGTTTCACTTCTTGCAGAAGCAATATTTGCTTTGGAGGATTCAAGCCAAATCAAGTTAGCAGTTATCATAAGAGAGTTCGCATGGGAATGGGTCATGGTGAATATGTTGCTATAGTGGCTAATCAAGGGCCACTGAGAAGGGAGATGAGGCAGAGGTAACACGGTACATGTGAAAGAACCAAATGCTCTGTGGGCTTATGGTGTATGCCAGGGTGTGCATATTCATCGGCAGGTCTTCTTATTTCCATCATGGTGGTGAAAAAAAATGTTTTGCTTCCTTTCTTGTTCCTTGACCAATCAACAATCCCCATCTGTTGTCATGACAACTAGCACCTCACTTTTGCCCATCTCTTCCAGTGCAGTCGCCAGAGAGACCAGGTCTGCATCACCTTGGTGACAAGCTTCCCATAAGTCCAGTAGGACACCTGTGGGGCTAGGCTTTGTTGCAAAGTAGTTCAAGTACCTGAAGAGAAAAAAGACAAGGAAAGTTATAAGAACCAAAGGACTGAGAAAAGGAAGCACTCCATTATTGATTAGAAACATTTTAGTGTTTATTTTAATGTTAATATTTTCAATGCTATATGTTGTATATCAATGCCAAACTAATTATGATATTTCACAAAGCAGGATTAGCTAGTTAGCAACAGGAAATATCTTCTGAAATGCTAGATACATACCATATGGTACATAGGTGAATCATATTCCTGAACCTAATATTCAAGTCATGGTTTCCAGATTCTAATGTCCAGGATATAACCTAATTAAATAATTCAAATATAACATAATTCAAAACTCAACTCTGAGTCTCAGCTCTTTTAATCAAACCTCAGACCCTGAATATCTACATGATAACTTTAAACAAATAGTTATAGTTATAGCTGTTAACAGTGGGAACTAATAATCTCAGTATCGGCACTGGATTCTACAACTAAAGCATGACCAAGCTGCCTTCCACATATGAAAAGATCTGACCTGTCAAAGCCCAAACTGCGTGCCAGTAGTCTCCAGTCACACCCCCGAGCACTTGGTGCATCCAAACTGGCACAGATTTTCTGGCGGATGGACTCGGGTAAGCGAAAGGCATAGGATCCCACTTGAGAAGAAGGCAAGCAGGTGCCCCCTGAGGGGAGGGGCGAGTGCGGTGGTAGAGTCTGGATTGACAGAAATAGAAAAAAGACCAAACTTTTGTGCATGGTTTTTTTTGGCATGAAAATGTGGCTTTTATAGCAATATTATGCATGACAGTACAAGCCAATTTTAGCTGTTACCACTACCTCCTGAATATCCGTGTGCAGCTGGAATATCTGCCCTTCTCCTTCCACCTGTCGGACGCAGATCTTACAGGTGAGCTGTGACACAGCCAGGCTGCCTCTCTCGAGGCTGAAGGTGCAGTGCAGGGGTCTCTGACTGCCACTCCAAATGTGGTAGAATGGGATCTCCTGTCACGCAAAGAAAAATGGTAAAAAGGAAAGCAGGAAACTGGGCATTACAGTATAATTAAAATATCTTTGTCCTGAGAAACACAGTCAGGAAAGATGTAGAACACAGTTTCTATTTGAGGAGTGTGCAGTATGCTTTATTGTGATACAGGGTGTTGTAACCAAGTGGGTCTCTGTGTGTCAGAGCCCAATTTATTTCTAAAGCACACTGTCCATAAATTTGGACCACTATCATATTTCCTGTTTGTCTATTCAAAAAGGGTTCAGACTGCAATCTTGGTGCTGCTGCCAAGAGAATGCAGCAGAGAGTTTCAATGTTTACAACAGCAGTGAACAAAATAAGTCCACTTAGTATTCTCAGAGAAAATATCTGTTCTACTTATGACACTACTAATGCAAAATAAAGTTTTTGTCAGACCATTTTTTCTTATGAGGCATTGCTTATTAGTTTTTAAGTTACACTGACAATCTATCAATTCTTTTATGTATTTTTTACACTTCTTAATTGTGCTCTAATCCAAAAAGAGGCAGCCACTTCAACAGGCTAGTATGTACTAATGTAGTAGCTGCTTTATGTCACCTGGTACTTGGCTAATAGTTTGCTTCTCCAGTGAGTGTGAGGAATGTCATGGATGGACAGGCGTAGGTTGTGGTAGCTGTCTTTGAAGAGCAGTGGTTTGGGATCCTCCAGCAAAACTCCACCTAGACTCCTCTCCAAATCTAGCACCTCCTGAACAGATCCAGAGAGAGAGACTGCCTTAGGAGCATATTCTTTTTTTATTATGTGCTTAAAATTATGACACATTTTAGAACATGCTTTCTAAAATGCTTAATTAAAATGTGTTGTGCATTCTCTGAGTTGGTGTTTCCAAATGGACATGTGTGAGAGCTAACAGTTTGAAAGCTGTTTGAACTTTAGCAGCCAGAAATCATGTAATATGATGCCAGTAAACTGTACACAGCATGCTTGTGTTTACTACCCCGGCTGGTCTGTGAACACTTTATACAAAAGGGATTGGGAGAGGGAAAATATTTAACATCAGTGAGTCCAACTGGATAAAGAACACACTTGCTGTTTAGTAGTGGGTAGGGGGTTTGTAATGTGCTGTACTATTTTAAGTGTTGCTTCTCATGGGACCGGAAGATTCAATATGCAAAACCAGAATTTAATTTGAAAAAGTAGGCTGGATCGGCAGGGTCCTCTATAGCCCAGGACCACAATGGAAATAAGTTATATTAATATTTGTTAATACTCACACGTCAGTATGACACTCTGTATGTGTTATATTCTATTTAAACGTTCTTTTAATTTATTTTATGTTATTCTTTTTGATTTTGCATGTCCAGATGTTATGCAGCAATTATATGCCTTTTTCTTTTTTGTGACTAAGCATGTCATTTATGACAGAATAAAACTGAGGTCTGTGAAAATGGCACTTTGCAACTACAGTAGATTTGATAGATGAATTCTTAATTGAAAAAGGCCCATCACAGTCTGATTACAGTTATTTGGGAGTACTAGTGCATTTGTGAAAAATACTGTCTTAAATCGTTTTGAGTGAGCCTCTGTAGCATGCTTGTCATCTCTGCTTATGGCTAACTGGTCCAAGCTACATCAGCTGATACTAGCATTAACACACCCTACCAAACTGTCGCCACTAGGTTTTGGCAAGGAAGAAGAATATATGGAATAAAGAAGTCAATATTGCTGGTTCTGCGGCATCGATTTAAACTATAGTATAATTGGCAAACACATCAAAAGAATGAACTAAGAAAAAAGAAATCTGCAACTGAGGAATAAAGCTAAGCAGCAGGACTAACTGACACAGGTGCTGTTATGTACAGTGAGGAACAGAAGTAGTTGAACACCCTGCGATTTTGCAAGTTCCCCCACTTAGAAATCATGGAGGGGTCTGAAATTCACATTGTAGGTGCATTCCCACTCTGAGAGACAGAATTTAAAAAAAATTTCAGGAAATCACATTGTATGATTATTAAAGAATTTATTTGTCTTGCACTGCTGAACATAAGTATTTGAACACCTGAGAAAATCAGTGTTAATATTTGGTACAGAAACCTTTGTTTGCAATTACAGAGGTCAAACGTTTCCTGTAGTTCTTGACCAGGTTTGCACACACTGCAACAGGGATTTTGGCCCACTCCTCCACACAGATCTCCTCTAGATCTGTCAGGTTTCGGGGCTGTCGCTGAGCAACGCGGAGTTTAAGCTCCCTCCAAAGATGTTCTATTGGATTGAGGTCTGGAGACTGGCTAGGCCACTCCAGAACCTTGATATGCTTCTTACGGAGCCACTCCTTGGTTATCCTGGCTGTGTGCTTCAGGTCGTCGTCATGTTGGAAGAACCAGCCAAGACCCATTTTCAATGCTCTGACTGAGGGAAGGAGGTCGTTGCTCAAAATCTCACAATAAATGGCCCCACTTATCCTCTCCTTAATACAGTGCAGACGTCCTGTCCCCTTCACACAAAAGCACCCCCAAAGCATGATGTTACCACCCCAATGCTTCACAGTAGGGATGGTGTTCTTGGGATGCAACTCATCCTTCTTTTTCCTCCAAACACGACGAGTGAAGTTTAGACCAAAAAGTTCTACTTTGATCTCATCTGACCACATGACTTTCTCCCATGCCTCCTCTGGATCATCCAAATGGTCTTTGGCAAACTTCAGACGGACCTGGACATGTGATGACTTGAGCAGGGGAACCTTCCGTGCAATGCATGATTTGAAACCATGACGGCATAGTGTTCTACCGACAGTGACCTTTGAAACTGTGGTCCCAGCTCTCTTCATGTCATTGACCAGCTCCCCCCTTGTAGTTCTGGGCTGATTCCTCACCTTGCTTATCATCAG